CCTGGGGATCCTTCGTGCGGATCGCCCCACGCTGCGTCCGCCCCGCAGCCTGGAGCCCCCGAGATGCCGGCGGCAGCTGCAGGCACTCGCGCGCCCGCCCTACGTCCCCACCTCCCCAATCACCACTCCGTCCCTCCCTCTCTCCCGCGCTCCCTCCCCTCCCCAAACCTCCTCCCTTTCAGTCTCCAGTCGCGCAGCCACTGCTGCCTCCGCGGCCGCAGGGAACACACATCTCCTCCCGCAGGCTGCCCCTCACTACCTCCCTCCCTTGGTCTCCGCCTTCAGTCCAGCATCCAGGCCTTGCTCTGGGGGCCCTGGGGCCAACTTCTGCCCTTCTCCTCTTCCTTCGCCCCCTGAGCGCCTCTCCTCTCTGCTTATGGACCCACTTCCGTTGTGGAAGTGGGCAGAGTGGCACGCTAGACCTGGACTATTTATTCCAGAGAACTTGACGTCGCCCCACCGTGATCCAACTGCAGGGTGGGGGGGAGTGACCCCTCCATCTGGACCTGCTCCTAGGCTTCTGATGCCCTGGGAGTACCTGCTGAAAGCCAGGGGGTCCCCATCCTGGGCTGCTATTAGGCTGTGGCAGATAATAGAGGCTCCTGGAGGGGTTGCAGCAGGGAGGGGCTGACCCTAGACCAGATGCAAAGACTTGATTGTAAGAGGCCAGATCTGTGTCTCCAACCTCAGGACTTGTCTTTTCATCTCCGTACTGCTGCCACAGCCTCACGCCCCCTCCTCAGCCCCTGACACATGACTTCACGGAGACATGGAACCTCTGAACCTCCTCTGTAAAGTGGCTACCCACCCACTTGCCCCAGACGAAATGGGTAAGCCAGCAGATCAAAGCTGACAGCGCAAGTGAAAGTGTTTGCTGAAACCCAGAGGAGAAGGGCTCAGGTTGTCCACTCCTCCACTCCTCTTCCCTGGGCAGCTTTTTTTTTTTTTTAATCCCCTCCCTGAAGCACCCATGCCCATATTTGCTGGCCCTGCACATTCAAGCACACAAGCTCTGTAGGAGGCCCCGTGGTCAACTGATTCTCACTAAGGAGTGAGTGACTGATAGGAGTCGAACCTACTGCAGTCTTGGATATGAATGTTGGTGCTATCAGGCCACAGGGCAGAGTTTCAAGGGGCAGGAAGTTGCTGCCTTTGCTTGCCCACATTCCAGGAAAAGGATACATCCCTCATAAGGCAGCGGTTCTCAACCTGTGGGTCTCGACCCCTTTGGCGGTCAAACGACCCTTTCACAGGGGTCGCCTAAGACCATCCTGCATATCAGATATTTACATTACGATTCATAACAGTAGCAACATTACAGTTATGAAGTAGCAACGAAAATAATTTTATGGTTGGGTCACAACTTGAGGAACTGTATTTAAAGGGCCAGAAGGTTGAAAACCACTGCTCTAAGGACTTTCAGGATGTCTGGTCCTTTCAGCCATTTCAAGGAGTCACTGGGTAAACTGAGGAGGGGCTAATAGAGTAGAGATGTGGCTGGGAGAAAAAAGGGGGGAAAAACACATGGGATCCGCAATTTTTAAAGGGACCCAGAATGAGCTACACTTCCCCAAGCGGGGGCGGGAATCTCTAATACTTCAAGTTCTGTAACACAAGGACAGGGAAAACACTAAAGGGCCTCAGGCTCCACACTCATGCTTTCAGCTGCCAAAACAGGGTTGAGAGAGAGGCTGACCCCTTGAGCTGAGAAACCCCACAGGCCCTGCGTTTATGGAATGCTGTTGGAAGAGGCTATCTGTGTGGGCCTCTCTGGACTCAAGGCGCACATAAATTTAAAGAGGAAAAAAGCGTGAGCCTACAGTGAGGGTGCTGGGACCCGGGAGGTGGAGCCCAGATAAAGTCGGAGGGAGGGAGGGAAGGAGGGAGGAAGTGAGTTTCTGAGGGTCTGGGGGATTGGTCAAAAGCAGGCAGGAGGAAGGTGGGGGGAGAGAATGCAGGAGATGAGGACCCAGCAGGCCCACCGGACCACTCGGACATCCCGCTGGGAAGATTTAGCTCCAGTTCCAAGTCCAAGTCCCCCAGACCCCAGCCATTCCCCTGCCACCATGGAGATTCTGGCCATATCTGCACACCAGCTAGAACTGTTTGCTTAATAGCTTTCTTTAAATCACCTCTTGCTTTGTTATTGTTTTACTTCGATGTGCTTGTTTTTACAAAGAAACGCTATATCATTACCATAAATGGAAAACCAGAATCGCATTACTATAAATAGAAGGCAACCATAAAATAAATACAATGAAAATAAAAGTGTTATTAAATTCTAACAATGTATATTTAACCACAATTTAAAAAAATATATATTCCCGCAAGATAATACTGCTTAAGGAAGGTGCTGAGCTGGAGCCCATTCTCTATTGAGAAGGGAGATTAGCGAGGGCTAGAAGGGTGTTAGAGATATATTAGCAACAAACCAGGACTCCCACATTGTGATCAAAAGGATGGAAAGAGAACTGGCAAGGGGCTCCCCACCTCCGACTCCTGGGGAGGTCAGTGGGGTTCTGAAGCTCTCTGGCTGCCTGGCCCTAAATCTCCTTGAAGAACTCTTCTATCCCACGATTGGGAAACACGATTCTAAGTGTATCAGGCAAAAGTCCTATTTGTCAGAAGTTACCAGCCACAAGAGTTCAGTTCTGGGCGGGAGAAGTGATCCCTGCTGCCGAGAGCGGGCCTCCCTCTCACAGGTGACCTTGGGGAAGTCACTTCCTTCTCTGGCCTGTGTCTTCACCTGTACAAGAGCTTGCTTGGACAAATGGCCTCTATGATCCTTTTTGCTATTCATTGATAAAAGCAAGAAAGGAAACTGAGAGAAGAGGGGATGAGGAGAGGAGGGACTGGGAAAGGGAGAAGACGGGAGGGGGCACGAACAGGGTCAGCAAGTCTCAGGAGGGACAGGGGTGGTGTTACAGCCATGTTGACTGATTGGAGCCTAGGTTGTCACAGACCCAGAAGTGGCATGGCCCAGAATGTTCTAGACTCCCCATTTGCCCGTTCTGGACAGTTCATTGTAATCCAACCACCTCATTTTAGAGATGGGGAAACTGAGGAAGGAACACAGACTAGATCCTAGTCCTGGTCAGAGAGCTGGGCATCCGACTGAGGTCTGGTGACTCCCAGGCCATGGCCCTTTCTGCTCGCACCACTGGTGTTTGGGGGTCTAGTAGAAATGGTTCTTTGGAAAATTCTCACCTTTCCTCCAAGGGGCTCTTAGACTCTATTTTCTCTGGCACCTGGAAGAATTGGCCTGAAAGCCCCAAATTCACCAGGGTGTGGCCAGTGCTGGGCAGCCCAGGAGCTGTGCCCCAGTCATTGGAGTGAGCACCCACACACTGACATCCTAGGGGCACTAATGCAGAGCAAAGAGCCCCAAACCAGGAGTCCACAGGCCAGAATTCCAGTCCTGGTGATCTTGACAATTCCCTTTCCTCTCTGGACCTCTGTGGTCCCATCTGTAAATGAGACAGTTGGTTTCAAGTTGGGCTGGCAGTTCCTGCTCCAGGGTATCCACTGGCAGCCACAGGAGAGGAGGGAAATCCCTCTTCCAGCTTTAGCCAGACGCAGGTTACCTTTTTATCTGTTTCGTATGATGGTGTCTCACTTGTGATTTTAAGGAGAAAGTGTCCTTGGCTTAAAAAAGAATCTAAAATCACTAGAAAGGATGATCTCTTGCTCCTAATTTATAAATTCACTAGAGGCCCGATGCACAAAAATTCGTGCAAGAGTAGGCCTTCCTTCCCCCAGCTGCCAGCACTGGCTTCCCTCCAGCACCCAGGACCCAGGCTGCTTCCCTCCTCTAGCCACTGGCAGGCACCCGGGACCTGGGATGGCTTCCCTCTGGCCCCGGCTTTGTTAGGAAGGACATCCGGAATGACGTCCGGTCTAATTACCATATTACCCTTTTATTATTATAGACTAGAGGCCCGGTGCACAAAATTTGTGCACAGGGGGTGGTGGGGGGGGTCCCTCAGCCTGGCCTACACCCTCTCTAATCTGGGACATCCCTCTCGCAATCCGGGACTGCTGGCTCCTAACCGTTCACCTGCCTGCCTGCCTGATAGCCCTTAACCACTCTGCCTGCCGGCCTGATCACCCCTAACCCCTCTGCCTGCCTGCCTGATCACCCCTAACTGCCTCTGCCTGCCTGCCTGATCACCCCTAACTGCCTCTGCCTGCCTGCCTGATCACCCCTAACTGCCTCTGCCTGCCTGCCTGATTGCCCCTAACCACTCTGCCTGCCTGCCTGATTACCCCTAACCGCCTCTGCCTCGGCCCCCGCCACTGTGCATTTGTCCGGAACGACATCTGGAAGGACGTCCGGAAGTCATCAGGTCTATCCGGTCTAAATTGCACATTACCCTTTTATTTGTATACATGGCTGATTAGACTGCGAGCTTCTCAAGGGTGGGGCCCTGCCTTATTCATCTCTGAGTCTCCAGAGCTTGGCACAAAATCAGGGCTTAAGGGGAAGTTGGAGGCCACTTCCTAAATGTGCTACCTCAGTCCAGCCACTTAAACACTCTAGCCTCAGCTGAT